GGTGGATGTCATCTCATGAACATAATAAATACCTAGTCAGTAATACCTATATGCTCCCAGGTGACATCTATCCTCCATTGATCCTCTACATAAGGGGTCAGCACACTACAGACCACAGGCCAAATCCTGCCTACCATATGTTTTATCTTAATAAAGTTTTAGGAGAGTACAGTCAGGCCTACTCACTGACATGCTACCTATGACTGCTTTCACACTACAGTGGCAGGGTTGAGTAGCTACAACAGAGACCACATGGCCTTCAGCTGCTTAAATCATTCTTGAAAAGAGAGTAAGAGAGAGAGAGAGACAGACCACATGGGCTAAAATATTTCCTACTTGGCCCTTTACAGAAAAAGCCTGCCAATCCCTGCTTTATACCCTGAACAGAGTGCCCGAAATCTCAAATGTAATCTAATGCCTCCCCTACTCATGATTTTCCAGTGAATTTCTAGAGCAAACACTGCTGGCTCCCTATCCAGGAGCAGTTCCTTATTGTTGCTTGCTGGAGAAACACAAATCTATTCGGATATTTATTATCCCAATACCCCTCCCCAGCTTCAAAAGAGAAATGATTATTCTAAGCTAATCACATTTGCTTTCCCAGTGCCTGGTTTAGGAATGAGCATGTGGTGTGACCCAGCCAATAAAATATTACAAAAAGGGCCGGGCATGGTGGCTTATGCCTGTAATCCCAGCACTTTGGGAGGCCAAGGTGGGCAGATCATGACTTCAAGAGATCAAGACCATCCTGGCCAACATGGTGAAACCCTGTCTCTATTAAGAATACAAAAATTAGGCCGGGCGCGGTGGCTCAAGCCTGTAATCCCAGCACTTTGGGAGGCCGAGACCGGTGCATCACGAGGTCAGGAGATCAAGACCATCCTGGCTAACACGGTGAAACCCCGTCTCTACTAAAAAAAAATACAAAAAACTAGCCGGGTGAGGTGGCGGGCGCCTGTAGTCCCAGCTACTCGGGAGGCTGAGGCAGGAGAATGGCGGGAACCCGGGAGGCGGAGCTTGCAGTGAGCTGAGATCCGGCCACTGCACTCCAGCCTGGGCGACAGGGCGAGACTCTGTCTCAAAAAAAAAAAAAAAAAAGAAGAATACAAAAATTAGCTGGGTGTGGTGGCAGGCGCCTGTAGTCCCAGCTACTTGGGAGGTTGAGGCAGGAGAATCGCTTGAACCTGGGAGGTGGAGGGTGCAGTGGGCCAAGATCATGCCACTGCACTCCAGCCTGGTGAGAGAGCAAGACTCTGTCTCAAAAAAAATTAAAAAAATTAAAAAAAAAATTACAAAAAGTCCCCTGCATACTTCTGAGTTTTCTCCCAATTTAATAGACACATGTGAAAAAAAGCAGCCCTTCCAGCTTTAGATACTATCTTGTGAGAACATCATGTTTGGAGCTGTTGCTAAGTAGCCAACCATGAAAGGAGAAATGAACAAGATACTGCCAACATCATAGCTGAAAGAGGAACAAGTGGGATCCAATTATATCACTGGACAACCAAACGAAGTCTGGTTCTTATGGTTTTGGCCACTGTTAGCTAGGTCTTCTAGTATTTGCAGCCAAAAGCATTCTACCCAAGAAGTTTCCCCTGGCCTACAGGATAAGATCTACTCATTTCTATACTATTAAAAGTCTTTTATTGAACTTGTTTCTAGACACAGGTAAAACAACAACAACAAAATCTTTGCTAAGCTTGCCTTCACCGGCACATGCTGCACATAATACATAATAAATAATAACTATAAGCTATTTTCACCTCATTACCAAACACTCCCATATAATTTTTTTTGCATTAGTAAATTTGAACTGCTCATAAACTCTACAAAGTTCACTCAGGTATCCTACGTTTTAAAATTGCTCCTCCTTTTTTAAAAACTTTCATTCTTCATGGCTGCTGCTTCTGTCAAACATGCAACTTGTTAGATATTCCTTCTGCCAAGCATCATCCCTCTGCCTCCTTATTGGCAAAGTTCCACTCACTCTGCATGCTTACCCTAAATTCGACCCAGATTTTAGAAGCTTGCATTCATCACCACAAATCTAAAAGTGCCTGGCACATACTGAACATAATACATACATAATAAATTATAACAATAAACTCCCAGATGACATTGGGCACACAGTAAGCACTACATAAGGTAGTAAATAAATGACAATGGTATTCACAATCTCCTAACTGTATTTTTTAAATGGATTTTGTAACATTGGAAAAATGCTTAGTCCACAAAAGACACATGATAGTTATTTTTTAAGTGGAAAAGTGTATGAATGAATTAAAATATTTTTTCTTAAAAATTCTGGTAAAAAAACACAAAAATTAAATAGTTATCTGTATTCTATTATGAGGACCTTAAAGACAAAAACTATTCAATTCCATCTTATCTGCTGCGATTTGCCAAACCTAACTTATAGAAGTGGTTTGATAAATATGTACTAAATTAATGGTGTCTTTATACAGTTCAGATTGTACAATGCATTTGGTGTTATATTTTTGTTATTGTGAACCATTTTTATAATTTTATTATATTTTTTTGAGCCTAGAGTTTGGCTACTGTAATATTTATTATGATCATCTTTTGCCTAATGGTAACAGAGTATTTTTTTTTTTTTTTTGAGATGGAGTCTTGAGTCTTGCTCTGTCACCCAGGCTGGAGTGCAGTGGCACAATCTTGGCTCACTACAATCTCCACCTCCTGGGTTCAAGCAATTCTCTTGGCTTAGCCTCCCAAGTAGTTGGGATTACAGGTGCTTGTCCCCGTGCCTGGCTAATTTTTGTATTTTTAGTAGACATGGGGTTCACCATGTTGGTTAGGCTGGTCTCAAACTCCTGATCTCAAGTGATCGGCCTGCCTCAGCCTCCCAAAGTGCTGGGATTACAAGCATGAGCCACTGCGCCCAGCCTGGTAACAGAGTATCTTGTTCCAACAAAATTAATATTTTAATTGTTCAGCACATTTTTAAAAATAGCTTGTTCTAAGAAGTGAATATACCTCATGAGGTTCCAACTTATGGAGAATGAGGAAAAAAATAGACCTTGTTTGTATAAGCATACGTAGCATAACTTCTGCTTCTTGTAAAGGAGTTACTTTCCCATCTTCTGCATTCAGTAGGTATCTTCAAAAATAATCTCCTATTTGTATGGGTGCACACTGGCTCAGTTTTATGGTTCTTATTTCCATTTGTTTACGGTATCAGAAAGGGATTGTTGAGCTCCCAGTTCTGAAGAGAGTTACTTTCTTAGTGACACAGACTCCTGTGTAATACAGTTGACCCTCAAACAACAGAGTTTGAACTGCAGGGGCCCACTGAGATGCAGATTTTCCTTCTGCCTCTGCAACCCAGAGACAGCAAAACCAACCTTTTTTCTTCTTCCTCAGCCTAATCAACCTGAAGATGATGAAGATGAAGATCTTTGGGAGGATTCACTTCTGCTTTACGAATAGTAAGTGCATTTTTTCCTTTTCTATGATTTTCTTTATAACAGCTTCATTTCTCTAGCTTACTTTATTGTACAAACATAGTATCTAATAATGCAGCACATACCACATATGTGTTCATGGACTGTTTATGTTATCAGTAAGGCTGCCAGTCAATGGTAGGCTATTAGTTAAGTTTGGAAGGAGTCAAAGTTATACTCAGATTTTCAACTGCACAGGGATCAGAGCCACTAACCACCTTATTATTCAAGAATCAACTATAATTAATATTTATTTACTAAATACAAACCATTTATTATAAAAATTAAATAGAAGATCCATTTGCATCACAAGTCCAATTTGTAATAATGTGATTATAGAGGAAAATAAAACATACTAACTTAAAAATCTAATTTCTTATTTATATTTACACAAAAATATCATGTAGAATTTCAGGGAACATAAGTAGGTAAATGCATGGTTTTCAGACAATACTGCGAGATTATGAATTAGCTACAACTAACTTGTTAATTCTGAATTCTAAACTAAATAAATTAAATTTAAAAATTAATTTATATACATATATATTTAAAACTGCTCTTTTATGATTAAAACTATATAACCTTACTTTTTTTTTTTTTTGGAGATGGAGTCTTGGCTCTTTTATCCAGGTTGGAGTGCAGTGGTGCGATCTCAGCTCACTGCAACCTCCACCTCCCAGGTTCAAGTGATTCTCCTGCCTCAGCCTCCTGAGTAGCTGGGATTACAGGTGCCTGCCACCACGCCTGGCTAATTTTTGTATTTTTAGTAGAGATGGGTTTTGCCATGTTAGCCAGGCTGGTCTCAAACTCCTGACCTCAGGTGATCCACCTGCCTTGGCCTCCCAAAGTGCTAGGATTACAGGCGTGACCCATTGTGCCTGGCCTATAATCTTACTTTTTAAAATCAATAAGACCACCAAGAGAAATGAGAAATTTACTATAAGAAATCTTACCTTGACTGTCGTTTTGAAGATCATTTTAAAGTATCTTATTTTTATGTTCCAAAATTTGTTGTTGGATGCTATGCATAATAAATGTAATAAATAAAATTACTATTTTAATAGTGATATGAAAAATATTTACCAAATATATTAAATTCTTAAAGCATTTCAGACAATATCAGAGCTAATATCAGAACTCTAATGTCCTATACACTTTAAAATTTTAAGCTCTATAAACTTACTAAGCTTCTGATTAAAGAAGAAAAACATGAAGTACTCATAAACTGAGAGAAGCGTAGCTCAGTAAATTAATTCTACTTAGCTTAACATCCTGGAAAGTGTCCTGCACTCAGAGTAAGTCCTCACTCTGTAACCCATAGGTATTTTGTTTTTAGACCAGTTGCTTCTCTTAGGCTCCATGGCTTTTTCAAAAAAATAAGGATTTTACTACCTTACTTCACTAGGTTGTTAGGAGAATATAATGAGATAACATGTTTAAATATTCAGAGAAATAGTAAAGCAATGGAATAATTTATTCTTGAACTGTATTGCTGAAACAATTTTGGAATCTCAAAACCTGATGGGCGTTTAGGTTCTAATATTTGAATGTCACAGTTTTCAGAAAATGTTACTAAGTGCTAATTTTGGTTATCAGTTCTATTCATTGTGGCTTGTAGTTCAGGGCATTTTAGCTAATTCATAACTTGTAACTAAATTTATATATAAATATATTATTATCTCATTAAAATAGATTACCTAATTGTTCACTATTCCTGAGCTCATCAATCATACCAAGGGCAGAAAACTCATAAATGTCAAAACCTGGCTGGGACAACTACCATTCCTTCTCTACTTCCTCAAACTCAGAGCCAGCAGGTCTGTGTTAGAGGCCGCATCTTCTTGGTTCTCTCCAACTGACATACAAGACAAAACCTGGCTTGTCTTGTTTTTTGGTTCCATGAAAGAGATGCAAGTTAACGTTTCCTCATTTCCAAGTCTTGGACTAACAACATATTTGCATGTAACATCCCATACTCAGCGCTGTTCTCATTTCACAGATCACCTTACGTGAATACTTTTATAATAATAGTAACAACAATTTCAATATTAGATGTCTCCTGTTTTGGTCTGACTTGCACTGTTTCCTTGGAGCTAGTTAACAAATAGTCAAATGACCTTCTTGGGACTGTGCAAAATGTGGAATGCTTTCTGAATCTGTGTGCCATCCTTAGGCAGCAGCCATGCTTATCTGCTCTGTATTGATCCAGTCTTAGAATATGTGCTGCTGAAACAAGTATAAAGCCCTGTTTTATACATGGACACTCATGAGTCATGGATGAGCTTAGCTCTGTTAAATCCAAATTACCTACTTTAGATACAGAGAATTCTATTGAATGACTTCCTGTGAGGTAGAATTTTAAAATATTTTAAAAACTTGAAGTAGAGATGCAAGTAGCCTGAGAGATTTTCATTATTATGGAAACACATTACTTGAGGGGCCAACTGCAAGTTGGTGCCCACGACTCTATTGAAGGATAATGTGGAGCCTTCTGCTATCTAACAAAAGCTGCCACACCGGACAGAAAAAAACCTCAAGGTACAGATGTGATAACAAAAGGGAAAGGGAGCTCTGATCTCTTCCTGCAACATTATTTGAACGTCCCTGACTGCTGAGAACAAGCCCAACTGAATTTGCTAGAGAAAAGATGAACACAGGTCTCAAAGGATAACTTACCATCAGGGTCTAGGCTCAGCCTAGCTAAGAGGTGGGCAAGAAATAAGGTTTTTAGTGTTACAGCAGGGGTCGCTTTACTTACTCTGTGTGTGGATAAAGCCAGGAGGCCTTGCTGGCGGAGCAGCGTGCTGGGAACAATGGCTGAACATATGTACAGGAACTAAAAAACACAGTGGCTGTGAGCTTTGCGTGTGAGTCACACGAAGAGTGAGGGATCTGAGTCAGTAAAGGCATCACAAGCCATGCGCGGTGGCTCACGCCTGTAATCCCAGCACTTTGGGAGGCCGAGGCGGGCGGATTACAAGTTCAGTAGATCGAGACCATCCTGGCGAACACGGTGAAACCCCGTCTCTACTAAAAATACAAAAAAATTAGCCAGGCGTTGTGGTGGGCACCTGTAGTCCCAGCTACTCAGGAGGCTGAGACAGAAGAATAGTGTGAACCCAGGAGGCGGAGTTTACAGTGAGCAAAGATCACGCCACTGCACTCCAGCCTGGGCAATAGAGCGAGACTCTGTCTCAAAAAAAACAAAAAACAAAAACAACAGTAAAGGCATCACTGTAGCTGTGAACTGTGTGTGAGTCACCACAAAGACTGAGGGATCTGAGTCAGTAAAGGCAACACCATAGCTGTGAACTGTGTGTGAGTCACCACAAAGACTGAGGGATCTGAGTCAGTAAAGGCAACACCATAGCTGTGAACTGTGTGTGAGTCACCACGAAGAGTGAGGGGTCTGAATCAGTAAAACCATCCTGGTGGCAAAGGTCAATCATTACCAGATTGCAGGACCAGTTACCATGGCAGCAATACAGCAAGTGAATCAATGGAAACCACAGAATGTTTAGAATGGCCTTTCTCCCCCAATCTTCTGACTTGTAAAGCAAGATTGTCTTCCTTGGACTTAGGGAACCCCTTAGCTTTTTGAAAAATTCAAAGGATGAAGGCATAGGAGATAGCCCAAGGGGACAATGCAAGACTTTCGCCTAACTGGGCATTTCAAGACCCAATGACTAATTAGAAAAGCCAGGCCAGGCATGATGGCTAGCAGTTTGGGAGGCTGAGGCAGGAGAATCTGTTGAGCTCAGGAATGTGGGCAACACAGTGAGACCTTGTTTAAAAAAAAAAAAAAAGAAAGAAAGAAAAGTAAAAGATGTGACACTATTTATATCTCACATGTAAGGTTATACTTGGAATAAAATGAACACTGAGATCCCTAAGGATAAAGGTCTTTAAAAGTCCTGAAAGAATCTTACACTCATTGCTACTTCTAACTAGTCTAGCTTTCTGTTTGATTTCTGGCTAAAAAGTGGACTAATTATCAACAGCATGTACATTGACCTGGTTCTTTACTAAAAATTCCACCATTTGCTGTCTCTTACAAATTATAGCAAGCAAAAGTGGTGTATTTCCCTCCTGTAAGAAAGCAAAAACAATTTATAATTCACAAAATTACATATTTCTCAACTGAACTAAAAATCTCCTATAAGATGCTATGAATTTAAACATACAATATAGAAAGAAAGTAAATGCAAAGCAGTCCCTTCCTTTTCACTCCTCTGTGCTTTACCACACACTGCCTTGCAAACACCCCTCCTCTGCCTCCCCACGTTAACTTAGATCATCTCCAAACCTGACTTTATTTACAAATCCCCAAAATCCTTGATTCTATCACAGCTTTTAGCACAATATGTTGTAATTATTTCACTGTTTCCCACTGAAACCAAGAGTTTCTTGAGGGCAAGAGCTGTGTCTTTTTTCTTTATAACCCTAAAACCTAATACATAGTAGCAAATGCTTTAGGTTTTTAAAATAAATTAATGATGTAAATTATTATCTTTAGAGCAGTGTTTCTTAAACTATGTACCAAAGAATATTTGTTTTACCAGAAGAACTGTATCCCAACAGAAAGATGAGATGATCATCTGCATTTGACAAGTATTACAAAACTGTACTATATGGCCAACAATCAAGAAATCCCTTCAACTTTGCCTAATTCCAATTTGACAATACTTTTTGTGACAAATATTAACATTTTACGAACTAGAGTTTCAGGGATACAGTTGCCAGAACTTCCCAGTTCAGGTGGAGGTTTCCTCTGGGTGGTACAAACTTGCTTGATTTACGTCTATCAATGGTGTCAAGATCCCAGATCCCAATGTCAGGCACTCCTGATTCAAATGGGTCACTAAGGAAACGAGCTCTGAATTAAGAGACTGGCTTCAAATGCACTTATTTTCATTATTATTAAATAGTCCATGGGATTTCTCCTATTACAAGAGGATAGATTTTTATCTTAACTGTTAGAAAGCTCAGTATATTCTGTGTAAGAGAGACAGGTTAAAAATGTTTGAAAACAAATATTTAAAAAGCAAAGCTCAGTCAGAAATTTTATTGTCAATTATAATGATAATCCTGGGATGCTAATGCAACTTTACTTTTTAAATCCATTTGTATTGGTTTCCATTTAAATTGCTATTTAACATTTTTTTACTTTAGGCAAAATATAAATCAGAAATGAAATTACAATGGATTATCAATAAAAATTTTAATATTGATGTATATGGCTTATTTCTAGCATAATAAAAGCCAATAAGTCACTTGCATTTTTAAGGGACATTGCTGAGAAGAATGATATAGTGTCTGCAATATTCATAAACTAGCCAACTCTCACCAGGAATAACCTAAAAAGGCTTCTAGGCATTCTTACAAGCAGATGACTATTTGTGGCATATATATTAAAAAAAAGAGTTAAAAAAAAACTTTTGAATTCTAAAATTCTACCCCACAATTGAGGGATTTATAAACTATAGACTATATAACCAATATACACCGTCTTGAAAATCTTGAAATCTTTATGAAAATATAATATAAAACAGAAGCTGTAAACTCAAATACTTATAAGGATGGAGGAGGTTACCTAGGTAAGTGAAGTACTCAGGTGGGCACAGTGGCAAACTGGAGAATATGTGCCTCCTACACAGGGCAACCTCTGCACAGCAGACCAAGCAGTGATGGGGTTTGGGGGACACCAGATTTGATTCTTGAGACAAGCCTGAGGTCCAGATTCCTGCATGAGTCTGCTAAATTTTACATGTTGACTCAATTTAAAGAGGCAAATAAACAAATCTATGTGCCACATTTAGTTAGACTATAGCCTTTGTGTATTTATATTTTCTATGAATGTGTTACTAAATGACTTTGTATAAACCAAGTATTTGCATGTTTTATATAAAAGTCAGCCCGATATATATATATATATATATATATATATATATATATATATATATATAAATATAAAATAAAAGTTGCTGTTAAGACTCATAATACCCACCTTAAGAATTTTCCCAAAATTTATTCATTTGAAATGTTTGTATACCATTTTCCCAGATTGTTAACCAAATAGATAATTAGTTCATAAGACTGCTGAAATGAACTTATTAAAAGAATTCCTATAGTATTCTCATTGACTTCATGGATTTCAGTGTTTAAAACTGACATCCTGATTATGCCAAAGCTCCATAAACTTAACAGACATACTGAGATAGTCCATAATACAACTTCAAATGAAAAAAAAAAGTTCAGGATTTGCTACTAATCTAAATGAGAAAATTTCACTTGTAATGAACATTTGTTGACACATAATCACTTGAATGGTAACAAAGGAACATGAAATTGTGAAAGGGTCAGCCTTTACCTGTTGAAAGACTACCCACAAGAAAATTGCTAAAGACTCTCTGAACAGCAGTGAATGATTCATGGTGGGAAGGAAAAGGTGTTATTCTGTAAGCTGAGAAATATTGCCAACAATATTTTCTTTCACTTTCTAGTCACAAACGCAGAGAAAGACAGATAAGTCAGGCTAACATTATTGGAAAGGAGAACTGTGAAGAAAGTAGCACCTATCAAATGCCAACTCTTTTAGAGATTTCTTATGTTTTTGAGATACGGGAATTTATATACTGCACTTATCTATTCTGTGGTTCTTAATCAGGAGTGTATTCAAACCCTGAGGTATTTCTTTTTTTCTTTTTTTGCTGTTGCTGTTGTAAGAGAAAAGAGTCTTACTGTGTTTCTCAGGCTGGACTCAAACTCCTAGGCTCAAACAATCCTCCCACCTCAGCCTCCTGAGTAGCTGGGACTATAGAAACATGCCACTGTGTGTGGCTTCAAGAAAATATTTTTAACCATACATTTTCAGACCTTATTAGCTCAGTTACATCAAAATCTTCAGGGGAAAGCCTACATATGTAGACTTTTAACAAAATTCCCCCAGGTCACTGTAATGCACAATTCTAGCTGAGAATTACTGCAGTAGACAATCACTTCAGTTTCATCACTCACCCACACCGTCAATATCCTTTATCAGCTTGAGATGTGGCCAAAAAGTGAAAAGAGTATGAGATAGAGTTATTTATTAACACTCCAGTTAATTTTCCTGGGTATGGGTAGAACAGGGACAAGTAAACTCAAAATCCCACTTGATTTAGCTATTTATAAGTTCCTTATCTCCCACCTTCCCACCAAGACATTCTAGATTTGAGAGGAGAGCTTAGACTCTTAGATAAGTGGCTGTTTTTGCTAGGATGGGTAATAAGTCAGTCACTAATTTGTTCCATCCTTTGCTGAAGTGTTTCTCACTTCATCACCATCTATCCATGGCCAATCTGGTTTCCTCAGAGTCCTCTAAAAATTAACGTTTAGGCAAGTTTCAATTACTGTGTTTACCAAACCAAAAATGATTACCCCAAAGCTGAAGAGCACTTCATACATAAACTGGAAAAACAACAAACTAACAAACAAAACCTCTTATTGGCATTTTTCCTCATTACCTAATTTCCAAGTGACCTACATGTTTTTGATTGCTCTCCTTTTCCCTCCCCATTTTTCCCTCTTAAACCTTGCACTGAAAGGCACATCAGTTTTTTTTGAGAAAACTGTCAGCAGCAGAAAGTTGCTTTAGTTTTGTTCTGAGTTTTAAGATAAAGCCTATTTCCTAAGTTCTTTTCGTGTGTGTGTGTGTTTTACATAATTAGAAAAAAATACACCTGGGGTAGGAAACAGATACTTAAAGAAGTCTTCCCTTGAAAAATTCACAAATATTTCCCATAAGTGCACTAAACAAGCTGTGCCCGCTAATGCTTCTTTAAAAGTATCAATATTTAAAGTAAAATCTTAGACAATTCAGTTATTTTGAAATATTTTCATTCCGGAATGCCTGATCTTCCAAATATGAAAAATTGACTCTTACCTATGTCAATGTTAAAACAAATATTTTGAAAAGAAAGTTGATTGATCTATACCTTGTTTAGTGCTTCAATATTTGCATGGTGGGAAAGCAGTTTTCCTGCCAGTGAAGTCCCCTTATTATACACATCATCATGAAGAGCAGTGTTGTCGTAGACATCCTTAATGATTAACATCAAGAAGAGCAGTGTTGCCGTAGACATCCTTAATGTTTAACATCATGAAGAGCAGTGTTGCCGTAGACATCCTTAATGATTAATATCATGAAGAGCAGTGTTGCCGTAGTCATCCTTAATGTTTAACATCATGAAGAGCAGTGTTGCCGTAGACATCCTTAATGATTAACATCATGAAGAGCAGTGTTGCCGTAGACATCCTTAATGTTTAACATCATGAAGAGCAGTGTTGCCGTAGACATCCTTAATGATCATGAAGAGCAGTGTTGCCGTAGACATCCTTAATGATTAATATCATGAAGAGCAGTGTTGCCGTAGACATCCTTAATGTTTAACATCATGAAGAGCAGTGTTGCCGTAGACATCCTTAATGTTTAACATCATGAAGAGCAGTGTTGCCGTAGACATCCTTAATGTTTAACATCATGAAGAGCGGTGTTGCCGTAGACATCCTTAATGATTAACATCATGAAGAGCGGTGTTGCCGTAGACATCCTTAATGTTTAACATCATGAAGAGCGGTGTTGCCGTAGACATCCTTAATGTTTAACATCATGAAGAGCGGTGTTGCCGTAGACATCCTTAATGATTAACATCATGAAGAGCGGTGTTGCCGTAGACATCCTTAATGATTAACATCATGAAGAGCGGTGTTGCCGTAGACATCCTTAATGATTAACATCATGAAGAGCGGTGTTGCCGTAGACATCCTTAATGATTAACATCATGAAGAGCGGTGTTGCCGTAGACATCCTTAATGATTAACATCATGAAGAGCGGTGTTGCCGTAGACATCCTTAATGATTAACATCATGAAGAGCGGTGTTGCCGTAGACATCCTTAATGACTAACATCATGAAGAGCGGTGTTGCCGTAGACATCCTTAATGACTAACATCATGAAGAGCGGTGTTGCCGTAGACATCCTTAATGATTAACATCATGAAGAGCGGTGTTGCCGTAGACATCCTTAATGATTAACATCATGAAGAGCGGTGTTGCCGTAGACATCCTTAATGTTTAACATCATGAAGAGCGGTGTTGCCGTAGACATCCTTAATGATTAACATCATGAAGAGCAGTGTTGCCGTAGACATCCTTAATGTTTAACATCATGAAGAGCAGTGTTGCCGTAGACATCCTTAATGTTTGGATTGGCACCATGTTCCAGCAGAATAATGGAACACGTCTCTTCCTGGCAATGTGCAGCCTATCAGTGTTAGATGAAAAATTAGACTATAAATTCTAAGAATTCAAAATACATATTCCACAGATTTCACCAACCTGTGTTATATTTAAATGAGATAAATTCATTTTAATTCTATGTATTTAGTGAAATCTATGTCATGCCAAAAGAGTTGGCTACCATACACCTTCATTAAAGGTGTCCTGTTCAGTCTGTCACAGATGTCAATCTGGCATTTTCCACTCAGCAAGAGAGTGAGCACTTCCACACAGCCATGCGCACAGGCCAAATGTAGAGCAGTCCTATGAGAGCGAGAGGAGTTTTCAGGAAATTATAAGCAATATCTCAAAACCTACACTGGTTTATGTAACTGCAAACATAGAAGAGCATGTTATTCCTCTGCCTTCAAAACAAATAATTTTCTTTTGAAGAAAGTACAATATTTATTAGCTCTTATTGCTCACTACCTTAATGAAACAGCAGCCTATTTGGATAGAATGAGCTTGGTGTTTGGATTCAGTTCAACTACGGCTTGAGTTCTACTTGGAACTCGGTCACTTACCAGCTATTGCTTAGCCTTTCTGTGCTTCATTTTCCTCATTAATAAAATAAAGATGACAATAGCAGCTAGCTCACAGGACACCATTGTGATGCTTAAATGGGAATCTATGTAAAGTATTTAGGACCATTTCTAGAACAAGCAACAACTCAACAACTCAATAATTGTTAGATTGTTGTTTTTTTGAGACAGAGTCTTGCTCTGTCGCCCAGGCTGGAGTGTAATCGTGTATTACATATATTTCATATATTACCTCACTGCAGCCTGGAACTCCTAGGCTCAAGTGATCCTCCTGCCTCAGCCTCCTGAGTAGCTAGGACCACAGGAGCACACCAGCATGCTCAGCTAATTATAAAAAAAAATTGTAGAAAGAATCTCGTTTTGTTGCCCAGGCTGGTCTCAAATTCCTGGCATCAAGGGAACCTCCCATACTTCTATATCTATTGTCACCTTCAATGGTCACATATTATTCCATCCTATGGATGCAACTGAAACTTATTTATAGGACACATTCTGTGGGCTCTTGTTGACATAAATGCTGAGAAAAACAAAGTACATGTATCTCTATTTTCTAAAGGTATTTTAATACAATGGAATTGATAGGTAAAGGGCATATAATTACCACCAAATTATCTATTTGAAAAGTCATCAGCAACTTAAACTTTAAGCAGCAGTATAAGTACCACTGCTCTTTATTCTCACAAACAATGTGGATAAAGAGCACAGTCTGTGGATAAAGAGAACACAGTCTCATTCCTCTTTTAACTTAAATTCTTTTTTTTTTTTTGGAGACGGAGTCTCCCTCTGTCGCCCAGGCTGGAGTGCGGTGGCGCAATCTCCACTCACTGCAAGGTCCGCCTCCCGGGTTCACGCCATTCTCCTGCCTCAGCCTCCCGTGTGGCTGGGACTACAGGCGCCCGCCACCGCGCCCGGCTAATTTTTGTATTTTTTAGTAGAGACGGGGTTTCACTGTGTTAGCCAGGATGGTCTCGATCTCCTGACCTCGTGATCCGCCCGTCTCGGCCTCCCAAAGTGCTGGGATTACAGGCGTGAGCCACCGCGCCCGGCCACTTAAACTCTTTTACGAGAAACACTAAGGATTTTTTCATATGTACAAACGTAACTTGTGGAGCTGCAAAACAGCACTTTGCTCACTTTTAGAGTTCTTTTCTTGTGGATTTGATTAGAAAGAATTCCCTGTAAAATGAAGACGTGCTTTTTATCTGTATATATATATATTATATCAGTAATCTATACAATTCTTTATATGTATATTGTTATATATAATAATATATAATAAAAAATAAATTGTAGGATTAAAATATACTTTTCATCTGAATATCTATAAGTAAAAACATATACATAGTAAATATTTTTCAAGTATGTTATCTTTTGTTAATTTTTTTCTGACACACAGGTGGGTTTTAATTTTTTTTTTTTTTTTGAGGCGGAGTCTCACTGTGTAGCCCAGGCTGGAGTGCGGTGGCACCATCTCGGCTCACTGCAACCTCCGCCTCCCAGGTTCAAGTGATTCTCCTGCCTCAGCCTCCCGAGTAGCTGGGACTACAGGCACGTGCCACCTCGCCAGGCTAATTTTTAATATTTTTAGTAGAGACGGGGTTTCACTGTGTTAGCAAGGATGGTCTCGATCTCCTGACCTCATGATCCGCCCACCTTAGCCTCCCAAAGTGCTGGGATTACAGGTGTGAGCCACCACGCCCAGTCTGGGGGTTTTAATTTTTAGTTTGCTAAATCAACCTTCAGAATGCCTGCTTGTGAGGTCATTCTCAGGAAGGCCTTTGGCAAAGTAAAATGTACCTGTATAAATAAGCATTTGTGTTTTCTTCTGGTACTTTTCTCATTTTGCATGTGTAAAAATTTCAATCTGTATTCCATCAGGAACTCATTTTTGTGACATAAAATTTCATTAGTTTTCCTCAAAGAGCAGGCATTTTAATAACCCAACCCTTCCTACTCATCTGAAATGTTACCATTATCAATCCTTACAGCTATATCTTATATGTATTTCAGTGTTTCTGGATTTCCATTCTGTCCCATGTACTTATGTCTTTTCAGCTGTTAGTAAACAATTGTGGGAATTAATAGCACATTTTGATATCTAGAGGAGCAAGTCTTTTTCACTCCGTTATAAAAATTTTTAAATGTCATCACAATAGTAAGATAGACAGCAGGTGTCATGCAAAAATGATAAATCCTTGATATTTTCATTCGGTTTATGTAAAACTGATAAACATAGAAAGAGCTCATGTTTTGAGAAAACGGAGTCTTCCCATTCAAGGAACCCACCTCCCACTTCCAAGTGTCCCTCTGAGAAGCCCCAGGAAACAGCCTATCTACATGGGTGGATTCGGATGTAAAACCGACCCAGGCTTTTATCTGAGAACTTCTCGCCTCAGTGAACATGACTCATGGTATTTTTCACATGGGAATGAGTTCTCATTGGGCACCTCCACGACCCCATGTTTTAAACGTGTATATGCTCAACTTTGTGAATTAAATCACTCAAATTCTCCACCAAGAGCTCCAGGCAGGGAATTGCCAGCGATGGAAAGCAGCTGAGGCTCCGTTTGGCTCCGCTGCTCCGAGGGTGCCCCGCGCCCTCCAAGGCCCCCGTCCCAGGACCTGCGGGGAAGCCGGGCCTGGGGACCCCCTCCCACCCCGGGCTGAGCCCCCGCCACCTGTCCTTCCTGTCGCGGGCATCCACGTCCCGGCTCCTGCGCGCCAGGCAGCTGCACCTCCGCGGCCTCGCCCTTGATGGCCGCCCTGTGGGTCTTCCGCAGTTCCGCGTCCCTGGTGTGGGACCCGGGGCCCGCGTACTCTTGGTGGACGGAGCCCAGGACCGCCTGGCCCAGGCGTCTCCCGAAGCTGAAGAGCTTCCTCATGGGGCGACTTCTCAGACGCAGCCTCCGACCTCTCAGACCGAGGGAGCCCCGCGACGCCGTTAGGCGCGCACCTGCAGCTCAGCGCCCGCGCGGACGCCGGAAGCAGCTCCCAAGCCTGCGCGGCCCGCAGGGGGAGGCCGGCAGGGGGCGGCTGCAGGTCGGGCGCAGGCGCCGCGGGCTTGCGGGTTCTCCTGGGCTCGCCGGGGCGTCCCGGAAACACATGCGCGCCGCCCGCGCGGCTTGAGGGCCCGCCTGGCCGTGACCCCCGCCCCGCTCCTCCTCTGAAGAGAGATCCGGGCCGCTGGCAGGGGCCCTCCGCAACCACCGGGGATGGGGCTGAGGGTCAGTTCCCGCCCCGGTGCAGCCGCCGCCGGGCAGATCTGGCCGCAGCCGCGGCGACATCCGGCCCTGGTTCTGCGAGGCCAGGAGCGCCAGCGAGCTTGGGAGTGGCCAGGCGGCCGCTGCGAGCAGGCGGAGGGCGCCCGCAGTTTGAGCGCCCGGGCGGCGGAGCATGGCCTGGGCGGCCTCTGGATCGCGAGTGCGCCTGTCCTGAGGGCCTGCCAGGCCTGCCCCCGCCCGGCTCCTCCTCTGCCGGAGCTCGGGACCGCTAGCCAGGGGCCCTCAGCAGCCACCGGGAATGGGGCTGAGGACGGGTTCCCGCCTCTGTGCAGCCTCCCCAGGGCAGACCGCCTCGCTTGGCCGCAGCCGCTGGGACATCTGGCCCCGGTTCTGAGATGTTGGGAGGGCTGAGATGTCGGGGGTTGCCTGGAGGCTGCTGCCTGCACACAGAAGGCGGCTGCAGCTTGGGTGCTCAGGCGGGCTGGAGGGGCATGGCCTAGGAGGCCCCAGATAGCCAGCGCGCCCAGACTGAGGGTCCCCAGGACGTGCCTGCCGCCCCACTCCTCCACCGCAGGGAGTTCGGGGCTGCTGGCATGGGCACTAGGCAGTCACCCCGATGGGGTTGAGCGCCAGGTTCTCAGTTCTCGCCCCTGTGCAGCCGCCGCCGCCGGGCAGAATGCCTGGCTTGGCCGCGGCCCCCGGTACACCTGGTCCTGGTTCTGCGATGCTGGGAGCGCGAGCAGGCTCGGGAGTTGCCAGGCGGCTGCTGCCTGCACACAGAGCGGACTGCAGCTTGGGCGCCCAGGCTGCGGAACATGGTCTGGGTGGGCTCCGGAATGCGCGCGCGCCAGA